TCCTACGGTCATGTGACTCAGTTCTCGTAGGACATATCCATACGTTCCTCCTTCACAGTGATCCAACCTTACATGGTCCTTGAAGGTGGATACTAATCATAATTCTAGTCCTTACAGGTCACAGATTTGGCCTCAAAAGAAATACCAAACAGCAATAGCAATATGACATGTTTAAAACACGGGTTTATAACAAACCATTCTTCAACAAATAAACACAAGAAGAAAACATATATCCAAGAATGTGATAAAAAAGAGGTGAACATATTTAGTATAGTAATAGTGCACATGCATTTCTAAAAAGTATATATAACAATGTGTACATGTTACAAAAACATGTACATAATATAAAAGTATGTTAAAAAGAATAATGAAGGGGAAGAGGGAAAATGGATGATTTTAAGGGAAATGCTGGCATCTAAAAAATATAAAAAGGTGGAAATATAATGATAATATAAAATCTATTCATAATATAATATCCTATCTAATAAAAAAAAAGGTCATAAAAAACTCTCTATATATTTATAAAAATATATATAAAAATATACATTGACGAATTTAAGAAAATTATTATTTATTAAAACTCATTCCCTATAAAAATGGCATAATTCAAAATCTATATTTAAACCATGGGGTGCTAAAGTATTTAAATTGAAAATAAGTTTCATTTCTTCAATTCCAATTTTTTTAGTAAAATTTCCTCCCCTCCAATTTCTTTTTACTACTTTCAGTGAACAAAATGAGAGGTCTTTTGGGTTTTGGTTGTGGAAATGTTTAAAATGATGAGAGACGCTATGTGTTTCCAATCCCTTCTTAATATTTCTCACATGTTCTGTTACTCTGACATGTAAGCATCTGATTGTTCTCCCTACATATAGTAGGTCACACGGGCATTTTAACAAATAAATTATATTTTTCGAAAAACAAGTAAGCTGGTCTCTTATTTCAAAATCTTTCTTTGTGAATTCTTTAATATCTTTAATATTCCTTTTTTTACTATTCATTTCCCTACACACTGCACATGTTCCACATCCAGAAAAACCTTTATTTTTAATCAGAAAATTATTTTCATTCGATGGATCTTTATAATTACTTTTTACTAAAACATTTTTAATGTTGTTACACCCTCTATGTACAATTTTAGATTTCAAGGGTAAAATATTTTTTAAAATAGGGTCATCATGTAAGAGATACCAGTATTTATTGATGGCATGTCGTACTTGTTTATTTTTAGCAAAATAATTACAAATAAATGGGGTTCCTATATTTATATTCTCCTTATTCTTCCTTTTATATTTTTTATATGGAAAGGGGATGAATTGAGTCTCACTGATTTTTTAAGTTTTTTAAATTCTAATGATTGGGGAATTATCCTCTCCTCTACTTCAAGTAAACAAGAGATTAATTTCTTAGATCTCACCATTTTTATAGAAAATGGAGACATCCAAACTAAAAATTATTTTAAAGAAGTAGATTGTAATGGTTATATAGATCTCAAAAGTTGCCATTATAACCCTTGGCTCAGAAATGCCCCTAAGAGTCAATTTATGAGACTACGAAGAAATTGTGCACATGATAAAGATTTTGACATACAAACTGCGGTAATTAAAGAACAGTTTTTGGAAAAGGGCTACATGGAAGGAGATCTAAAAATAAATTTAGATGAAGTGAAAAAAATGGAGAGAAAAGATCTATTGAAATATAAAACGAAGAATAAGGAGAATATAAATATTGGAACCCCATTTAATTGTAATTATTGTGCTAAAAATAAACAAGTGCGACATGCCATCAATAAATCTCTTACATGATGACCCTATTTTAAAAAATATTTTACCCTTGAAACCTAAAATTGTACATAGAGGGTGTAACAACATTAAAAACATTTTAGTAAAAAGTAATTATAAAAATCCATCGAATGAAAATAATTTTCTGATTAAAAATAAAGGTTTTTATGGATGTGGAACATGTGCAGCGTGTAGGGAAATGAATAGTAAAAAAAGGAATATTGAAGATATTAAAGAATTCACAAAGAAAGATTTTGAAATAAAAGACCAGATTACTTGTTTTGAAATAAGAGACCCTCTTTGGGGCTCTCCCTACATATTTACATAGATTGAATTTAATTAAAGTACAAAGAATCTTTGCTGAATACATATCGAATGGGAAAAAGCCAAGAATAAAGAGAAAGATTTTAGAGAAAAGTATGAATAGAGGAGGGCTAGCAATTCCTAACATTAAATGGTATCATGACACTTCCATTCTTAAAAGTTATCTTCGAAAATACATAGGCAAAAAAGATAATGAAATTCCAGGCTTGGATTGTCTATTAAAATATGGAGATGAAAAGCTCCCTTTTTGAGGATGAAGATCCTTCTATAATAGATCCAGTAAAAAATATAATAAATAAATGGGAAATAGATCTTGAAACAGAGATCAGTACTTTGAACTGGTATAAGATCATACCAGAAACTAAGAAATGAATACACTGCCTTAATCTTATAGAGTTACTGTAACGGACCGTTTTGCCCACAAGAGGTTAAAAACCGTTTAGACGATATTCCCCTTTCAGATGCACAGGCACAGCTACTGCAGAACACCAATCCGCTGAACAGGAAACCATATGAATGCCGTAAACAGCCGAATAGGAAAAACCATACGAATAGGTTTACACTCCTAGCAGTCGAACTGGAACAGCATACAATAAATCCCCCCAAGAACGAGACAAGGCTCTGTTTTGAGGGTCAAGCAGTGAACAGCCAGAGCTGTGGGTTTATTGTTCTTATATACACATTAGTACCACCCACAGGGTTTTGGAACACAACCAATAAACACATACAATACACTCAGACACTCCCACACAAAATCCTCCCCTCTGCCTGCGATTCAATTAACTGACACAACGGGTAATGTAATTATAACAAGCAGAGAAATACAATTTTTCCACATTATTCATAACTTGAAAAGTATGCATCACATTCACATATAACTTACATTTTCAGAATCAGCATACCCCAAATACAAACATATGTCAAAATCATGCAAATTGGTCCAGTGGTTCAAAAGATAGATCGAAGTCCTTTGTGACCAAAGGAAGCATGGCTTTTCTGCCCAAAACCAGTTCCACAGAGTCTTTTATCCTGGAGATAATTGGGAAGTAATCCAATTATATCCAAAGACAGAGGAAAAACTCCATTGAACAGATGGCAGCAAAAGACAATAAAAGACATAAAAACATATAACTGTGCAGCCATTGCACAAAACAGGTACATTCAACATATCCCCAGACAGCTCAGATCTGAGCGCACATTATTTCTGAATGGCGCTCAGAGCACACACATACAGTTCAATTCCCATGGAGCCAAAGTCTTTCCCATAGTCTTTCATTATACGTATGGGCGTCATGGCATAGCTATCTGGAGTATCACCGCTCAAATAGGGCAAGCACCAAATGACCCGGCTTTCATGTCTTTGCAGGGGAAAATCAAGCCTTTTTTTCACATGGGGCCATAGTCTAAAGGCAACAGGCGAGCAACCAGGCTTCTCCAATGCAATGTGGCGAGATTGCTCTCGTCACAGTTACAATATACTGACTAGATGGTATTTAGTTCCAAAGAACTAAATGGCATTTAGTTCCAAAGAAAATTAACAAATGTTTCATACATATGCCAATTCCTGCTATCATGCAGATTATGCAGAATATTCTTATACTCATATCTGGTAATGCAAAAGAGATTGAGAAGTTTTGTGAGCATCTGCCCATGCCCAAAATCCAACCACATCAATTAAAACAATTAAACCAGCCCATGACAGAAGAAGAGGTAGATAAATCAATAGAAAAAATTAAAAGAAAGATTGCTCCAGACCCAGATGGCTTTACAAATACATTTTACAAATTAATGAAGGATCAAATAAAAGGGGAACTCACCAATATTTTTAACTATATAATGGAAACAGGAGACTGCCCTGGAGAGCTGTTGAGGGCAAATATTGTACCCATCCCAAAGGCAGATAAAGACCTAGAAAATATAGGCAATTACAGACCCATATCATTAATACCGATATTAAAATACTATCCTCTATTATAGCGGAAATACCACAAGTTATTAGTAATGATCAAGTCGCATTTATACCTCGGAAACGAAGAGAAACATGTAGTCAGGTGGTGGCTGTGGCTGACCTACGTGGCAGAACAATCCACAGGGACAGGAGGAAACAAATGAACACAGTGATAGACAGGAGACCACCCACCCTCCAGAACTAAGCACAACCCCTGGATACAGAGATCTAACAACCCCCGACAGGCGGCTCTCATTCCACCCTTCTGCTTCCCCCCCACCTTCTACATGCCCTCCCATACCTCCCCCCCCTTACCCCTCTTAACCCCTTTCCCCATCCCACCCCTACCCACCTATTAATGAAACACATACAGAACGAAGCAACAGACGAGACAATAGCAACCTGACCAAATACACACAAAGTAAGATGCCTCACCTACCATTAACAACCATCGCTGACAGATACAAAGAGACAAGCACCTAACTGACACCCAAACAGAACGAAATCTCATAACAACTCCCTACAGTGGAGATAGCTACCCACATGGATACAGGCCTAACGATGCTAACACCCCTAGCAAGGACCCATAGGCCCCATCTCCAGAAACTAGAACTACCTATTAATTGACATACTCACCCACAGCTGATAACGGTTCTAGATATCCATGGGAAAGGCATCAGTCATGCGACACACTCCATTAGGGGGAAGAAAAAAGGACAAGGGGAAAAAAAATGAAAGGAAAAAAAAAAAAAAACTTAATCTGTATGTGTCTTATTATATCTTGTTCCTCTAATAATTGCTTACTGAAAAATACTAACGCAAAAAAAACCCCCAAGAAACCCTACAACACTCGAATATGCGGGACCTGCGTGTCCCACCTTCAAAAAAAATCAAATTGCATGTACTAAATTGCTATACTTTATGCACAATAAACAACTTTGAAAAGTTACATTCAATGTGTGATTAAAACTCTAGGTCTATGAAAGAAAAAGTATTAAAATATTTATGCAAATGTGTCCCTTAGCAACAATGTAACAGAGCTATTAACTCCTTCATTGGTAACTACAATAGCCAAATGGAGGGTTTTTAATGTGATCTAGCATGTATTGCTTTTATGTATGTTGAAATAAATTGTATTTATTTATGCAAGTCGCATTTATACCAGGGAGGTCCTCAGTTAATAATCTTATAAGAATAATACATATAATGGAGGAAGCAGAGAACAGTGAAACCCCTCTAATACTTTTGTCAATAGATGCAGAGAAAGCGTTTGGCAGGGTTGGATGGGGTTTCATGTTCTCTGCTTTAAACCATTTTGGAATTACTTTATCAATTCTACAAGCTGTATCTGCTCTCTATAGTTTTCCATCAGCTAAAATAACAGGATCAGGGTTTACATCACAAAACGTTAATATAAAAATGGGACTGGACAAGGGTGTCCTCTCTCGCCCTTACTGTACATAATGGTGCTAGAACCTCTAGCAATTCTAATAAGACAGAATAATAAAATCAAGGGATTTACAAACTCAATAGGACAAACCAAACTAAACATCTATGCAGACGACATTCTATTAACACTAGAAGAGCCAATCACTTTGGTCCCAGAACTACTTAAAGACATAAACAACTACTCCAAAGTTTCAGGATATAAAATAAATTTGGAAAAATTTACATTTATTGTTAAAAATATGAAAAAAAACAACAATCAAATTATTTGTTCAGAATACTGGGCTATCTGAAAATAATAACAAACTAAAATATCTGGGTATCAACAGAACTTTAGAACTAAAAGATTTGATAGAAGCTAATTTTCTACCCCTATTAAAGCAAACCAACAAAAATCTAAGGGATTGGAAAGGCATGGGTTTCTCATGGTCAGATAGGATTAACATTTTAAAAGCATATATCCTGCCAAAATAGGCGTACCTCTGGAGAATGATTCCAATTAATTTCCAGAAAACTGGTTGTCTCTATTAAATTCTTCCTTTGTTAAATGTATTTGGGGGAGCAAGAAACCAAGAGTAAAAATGAAAGTACTGGCTAGATCAAGACAGGACATAGGCCTAGGGTGCCCAGAAGTTTTACAGTGTTATCAGACCAGCAGATTATTTCACATATGCTTACACAAAGTAAGGCAGCTACCCAAGAACTATGGTATAAAATGGAAAAAGCTAAAACTGGAGTTGGACACTTATCCTTTTTATTTTGGACTGTTGATGCAAATCAAAAATCTATGAGAATAGCACGCAGCAAATCCCAGATATTTAAAGAGCTGACGAGATGGGAATAGCACACAGCAAATCCCAGATATTTAAAGAGCTGACGAGATGGTGGGAAAAATGTATAAACAAGAAAGGCCTCTGAAATAAAATAATAGACACGCTTCCATTCGTAAGCGTCTCAGATATGTTAGAAAATATAACAACAGAATTATGGACGTCAAAGGAGGTGAAGGAAGACAACCTTAAACCTTTCAACCAAATTATGAAGGATTTTAACATCCCCTCCAGTGAAACATTCAACTATTTGCAAATTAAAAGCTTTTTAACAAAACACCTCTTTAAAACCAAAGAGGAGGATACCAAAAACCTTATACAATTATTTGAACTAAAGAATTATAAAAACGGCCAAATGCGCAAAAATTATATATGGATGGAGACATGATAAACCGATAACATTGATTAACAAATGTCAAAAAGAACTACAAATAACTATAGAAGAACAACAACGGATAAACTCCCAAAATAAACTGAACAAAAATATACATTGCTTAAATGTTATAGAGACCCAGTTTAAGCTATCAAACAGATGGTACTTAACACCCAAATGCCTAAAGAGACTTTTCCCAGAACTATCAGACAGATGCTGGAAATGCAAAAGTGCTGAAGGCAACTTGATTCACGCGTGGTGGCAGTGTACACTCATAAAATGATTTTGGAAAGACGTCATCAAGGTAATATATCAAATAACGGAAGTAAAATTACCCTGTAATCCAGAAGTGGTTTTACTAAACTTGCACTTGCCAGAAATTACACAAAAAACAGCAATGGTGATATCACATATTACGACGGCAGCCAAATTACTCATTGCAAGAAATTAAAAAGTAGATACAAAAAATCTAAATATTAATGAATTAATAAAACAAGTAACTTGTCAAGCAAAAATGGAAAGAAGTATACGAGTAAATCTGGGAAATAGATATAAACAAATAGAGGACTGGGGTACATGGATAAAAAGGCTGGATGATCTACTAAGCCATTGGTGTCCCACAGAAAGACCTTACTTCTTCTCTCTCAGACAAAGTAGAAAGAAAGAAAGAAAGAAGGAGGGTTAAGTCCATTCATACAATAAAAAGTACCGAACGGACCGGCGTTCGTATGCCTAATGATAAGAAGTTTCAGCGGTGTTCGGCAGAAAAAGTGTCCGGTTTGAGTTCCATAAGTTCATCATCTAACACCGCTGTTCATTCGTGTGTTTAAAATGGCCGCCACCTCGTGGTCGACAAACGAATGACGACCACCCAGCATACGGTTCCAATTAAGAGGTGTCTGTGGTTAACCACAACGTTCTAATTAAGGCCAATAGGTTAACCAGCAGCACATTTCTCTTCTGGGTGGCCGGCCATTCGGTAGTTTTATTCAGTATAAACTGAAATAAATGAACAGGGACGTACGGGCAGGTAATTCCATGACTGTATAGCAAAAGAGATGAACCAGCAGATAGTACTTAGACAGATGGATCTGTCACACGGCTCCCTCCTTGTGGGACACCCCAGCAGACCCGACTTGACCCTTTGGCGGGTCAACTTGGGGATGACTGGACTAGGAGGTGGTAGGGAGGTCAGTTTGCCAGGACAATCCATCAGCATTCCCGTTATGCTTACCAGGTCAGTAGCTGATAGTGAAGTTATAAGGTTGGAGGGCTAAACTCCACCACAGCAATCTACCATTGTCTCCTGAGACCCGGTTAAGCCAGACAAGGGGATTGTGGTCCGTTATAAGGGAGAATTCCTGCCCGTATAAATAAGGGCTCAACTTCTTCAGTGCCCAGACCAGGGCTAAACATTCCTTCTCCACTGCCACATAGCTCACTTCCCGAGGTAGTAACTTTCTGCTGAGATATGCGACAGGGTGCTCTCCTCCATCCTCCCCGACTTGGCTTAGCATAGCTCCCAGTCCATCTGTGTGAACGAGAAAGCGTTTGTTAGGGACTGGGGCAGACAAGACAGGGGCATTCACAAGAGCCTGCTTCAGGACTTGAAATGCGGTTTCACAAGCTGGAGACCACAGGACCTGCTTAGGTAAATTCTTCTTAGTCAGGTTAGTCAGGGGCTTGGCGATAGTACTGTAGTCAGGGACAAAACATCGGTAGTACCCTGCCGTCCCCAAGAAGGCTAACACCTGGGTTTTAGTGATAGGTGTGGGCCAGTTAGCCACGGCCTCTACCTTGGCTGGCTCCGGTCTCTGGTTCCCACACCCCACTCTGTGACCCAGGTACTGTACTTCAGCCATACCTAGATGGCACTTGTCTGGTTTCAAGGTCAGGCTAGCGGCCCAAATCTTGTCCAGAAACACCCCTACATGGACCAAGTGTTCCTCCCAGGACTCACAGTAGACCACAATGTCATCCAGGTATGAACAAGCAAATTCCTGGAAGCCATCAAGGAGTCTATCCACCATACGCTGGAAGGTAGCCGGTGCATTCTTCATCCCAAATGGCATGACCTTAAACTGGTACAGGCCAAATGAGGTGACGAATGCCGACTTGGGGATAGCATCCTCGGCCAGGGGGATCTGCCAATAGCGCTTACACAGGTCTATGGTGGTCAGATAGCGTCCCCTGGCAATACGGTCTAATAATTCGGTCTAACCCATCTTTCTTAGGCACTAGGACTACAGGCGAGGCCCAAGGACTGTCAGAGTGTTCGATGACTCCAAGCCGAGTCATCTCCTGTATCTCTTTCCGCATTTCTTCTTCTGTCATGGGCTGGTTTAATTGTTTTAATTGATGTGGTTGGATTTTGGGGATGGGCAGTTCTGTCCAGGGGTCTCTACCTTATGTACAGCTAGAGTAGTGTAGCCAGGCTCTTGGGAGAACTTCGCCTGCTTCTCCCACAGAAGCTGCCTTGCCTGTACCTTCTCTGTGGGGCTTAACCCGTCCCCTAGCTGCACAAGACTAGTGATGCCAGTCTGGGGGTCCTTCTCTAATAAATCGGGCAGGGGTAAATTCTCTGGGTCGTCTGCAGCAGGGGCACACACTGCAGTGACATCCTCTGGTCTCTCCTGATACTCCTTCAGCATGTTTACATGAAAGGATTGCTGAATCCTCTCATCTGCACAGCTGGCTATAAGGTAGGTAGCATCACACACCTGAGCTAACACCTTATACGGGCCCTGTCAAGATGCTTGCATCTTGTTGGTCTTCACAGGTTTGAGCACCAACACTTTCTGCCCCACCTGGAAGACCCGCTGCTGGGCACCCCGATCGTACCACCTCTTCTGTCTCCCCTGGGCTGCCTGGAGATTCTCCCTTACCATGAGGGACAGTTTCTCCATGCGGTCCCGGAGTTCCAGGACATATGGTACTATGGGGGTTACCTTCTGCTCTGTCTCTCCCTCCCAGTGTCCTCTAATGAGATCTAGGGGTCCGCGACCCTTCTCCCATAGAATAACTCAAAAGGAGAGAACCCAGTGGATTCCTGGGGCACCTCTCTGTATGCAAATAGCAGGTGAGGCAGGAATCACTCCCAGTCTCTGCAAGTGTCAGTAAAGGTCCTCAGCATCTGCTTGAGGGTGCCGTTAAAGCGCTCGCAGAGGCTGTTAGTCTGTGGGTGATAAGGTGAACTGAGCAATGGTTTAATGCAGCCCACTTTCCACAGCTGCTGGGTGAGCACAACAGTAAATTGGGTTCCCTGGTCTGAGAGAATCTCGTTAGGGAACCCTACCCTAGTAAAAATCTTAACCAGGGCATCAGCAAACATTTCTGCCTCTATATTAAACAGTGCTACTGCCTCTGGATAACGAGTGGCGTAGTCCACCACGGTGAGAATATACTTCTTACCAGATGGACTAGCCCTGACCAGTGGACCCACAATGTCAACAGCTATGCGGGAAAAGGGTTCCCCAATGATAGGCATAGACATAAGCCTA